TCAAATATATCAAAAATCTAATATAATGTTGCTGTTTTTCCTCCTCTAGGATACAATGCTCGTATACACTATGAACAAAACAGGTTTATCGGGGAGAGGCAAAGTGAACAAACACTTGTTTAGTTCCTGCTAAATTCCAGCTTCAAATTCAACATCCATGTTATATTATTTCCGTAATGAATATTCTTTCAAGGAAATACCCAGAACTGTGTCTTGAATCTTCAAAATATGTTACATGTGGATATGCGTAGAACTTCTATCAAAACAGGTAGATACAAAAATGTGTAACGTGGCAACTAATCATTGAATCATCTCAAATCAAGTGTCCGGATAAGGAACAAGTAGGAGGTGACGAATGAGAGGTGTGGGTGTACATTCATAATAATAACAGCTTTGATTAACAGATGCACAGTTGACAGAAGAGAGCTGACGATGGCTAGATATGTAAGTAAAATGTTAATTTGTTAAACAATGATTCTAAATTAATAATAGTAGACATAGGATGATATTTTGCATATTAGCATACTGACAGAAGTGTAAAGTATCAGAAAATGAAAATAATTAAAAAACAAAACTCTTACAGAACTCTTAAAGCTTGCAACATTATTCAAAAACCACATTTGAAATTGTTGGAAGAACCTTGAAATGAATTATACGACTATATATTGTCACCCACAATGGTGGTGCTGTAGTTACAACCTGTATATAAATAGCACATTTTAAATAAATTATTAATTTGTATGTACTACACATTTCCACCACCATCCTCAGAACACACTTTGAAGAATAGTATTCAGAACTCCAGGGACTGAAATATCTAAAACAAAGCTTTGAGGTTGCATCCACCTTACTGACTCCCTGACTTTCATGCTCAGAGATGTGTCATGTGAAATGTAAATGTAATTCAAGGTTACATTTAAAGTCACACTCTTGTTCAACATATGGAATTGTTTCATACGCTTTTGGTCGCTACATGAATTTGAACAAGGTTGAAAGCTCTGGATATTTATGCTTATATTCAAAGTTAAGTTAAATAACATTTGTGTGATGGCCTTATCTAGTTACCATACTCCAAATTAAACCAGTATTTGTCAAAATGTTAAGGCCCAGCGTTTGGTAATTATCTGTGACTTTAATCTGAGAAAACAGGTCTCATAAATATGTCTGAATGTTTCAGAGAACAATGATGGCGTTGCTCTTGACTGTTGGGATTGTTTTTCAACTGTCAGAGTCACGTGTGACATGCAGGAATGATAAAGGAAACGAGGTGGACTGGTTGGTGGACATTTTTATTTGTGGCATTTTAGAGTATCCACCATTTCTCTGTGTCTGCCAAGAATGTAATAGAATATATTTTCTCTGCATGATTAGGTATATTCTGTACAAGTTGCCCCTGGGTTCCAGTAACGGTTTGTCCTATCTGTACATGGATGAGAGCACCAATGGATGGAAACTCAGCAGAAATACCATTGGCAGTTCATCTGGCACTCTGGGAAACACCATGAAACCTCTTTTGGACTACTACGTCAGAAAGGTTTAGTATATACAGACGTGTGTCTCTTTTGCACAGTAGTGTTTAATTTGCAAACTGATGCAGTCTCATATATTTTTGTTTAGACTGAAGGTTTTGGATACATTTTATATAATGATCAACCAGGCAACAACAGAACAGTTTCTTCATCATATGGTCACAGTAAAGGTGAGTGCAACAATCTTCCACTTCATTGTGGTTCAAGATACAGAAGAATATTATAATGTGACAAAGCTCTGTTTTTGCTCCTCTGTTTTACTTCCTTAAGGTGTTGTGATGTTGGACAAAGACACAGGAGTCTGGCTCTCACACTCTACACCAAAGTTTCCAAAATATCAAAGTCAAAGCTTCTGGCCAAAAAGTGGAAACGTTAATGGTCAGACATTTTTGTGTGTGACTTACTCCTATGGTACATTTGAACAAATAGGTGGGATACTGTTACATTTCTGACTTGTTATAAAACATATGTTAAGGAATACATGTGCTAAACATTTTACTAATTTGAATTTGTAGGATTGCAGCTCATGTACATTCATCCCTATGCATATGACTATGACATCCCGAAAACCTTTCACATGGAGCTGCAATATGTTGCACGGATGACTGATTACCCTACAAAAGATCCCTTTTCTCGTGTGGAACATCTGATGTCATTGGGAGGAAAACGTTTCGTCAGCTTTGCAAAACACACACGTTTTCATGATGGTAAGAGTTTGCACTCAATCAGGATTCAAGTGTTAAAATGTCAAGTTAAGTTGTTGATGAACCTAAACAGTTCTTTTATCAGAGCAAAAGAGGAACACATTTGTTTTTCTCTTTACAATGAGATACTGTTTGCCTGTTGATCATTACATTCACTAGAGTCAATGCTTTTTTATTTTGTTTGCAGATTAGTTTTGTCATGCATGTCTGAATGTGTTCAGCATAAGATTATTTTTGTGCATTTATAAGAATGTTAAAATAAAATGAGTACACTAACATTAAAAAAATAGGGAAGCACTTGTTGATATTATCAGATGAAATAAGTAAACATTACTTTTATATGGTCAATAAAACAACATTATGAAAGTAAGTGAATGTTTAAAAGAAGTGAATTAGGAGTCAGTAATAACACACTTTTGTTCAAAAAGTGTGTACCACATGAGCCATTCTTACATTTCTTAATATTAATTGATAACAGAATTGTATTTTGTTTTGTTTCAATTATTTTGTAGATCTTTATTCTGGCCTTATTGTGAAGTTTATGCTGGAGAGTCTGTACGTGAAAGGCTGGGGAAACAAGGGTCGCTCAATTCAGCTGCCGTCTAACTGCAGCACACGCATCCCGCATCATGTGTACAATGTAAAGATGGTTAAACTTCTGAAAAAGGTCTACAATGATACTGAAGATCACTCCAAGTGGTGTGTGGCTCCTAATATTGGATGGATCTGCATTGCTGATTTGAACAGGCATGAGAGTCAGACGAATAGAGGTGGAGGAGCAATATGCTTTAAAAACGTTGCAGTTGCAAAAGCTTTCAAAACCACAATCAAAGATTATGAACGATGTGTTACTCCACATTCTGATCTTTAAACGCACACCACTTTATGGAAATATATCTGCAATACCAAGAACTAAGAAACAAGAATATTATCACCAGTGGTGGAAGAAATATTCAGATATTGTACTCAAGTAAAAGTTGCAACACTAAATTGTAAAAATACTCTGGTACAAATAAAAGTCCTGCATTCGAAATCTTATTTAAGTAAAAGTAGAACAATTATTCACATTAACATATAGTTAAAATAACAAAAGTTAAAAGTAAAGAAAAGTGGTTAAAGGCCAAAGATTCATGAGGGAAGTCTTAAAACAGGTGGTCTAGAGGAATGTGAGAATTTGGTTAGCGATATTGCCAAATATCTGGAACAAACTCCCAGAAACCTGCCGGTCCGCTGCAACTTTTACTACTTTTAAGTCCAGGCTTAAGACTTTTCTTTTTGCCGCTGCTTTTAATTGAACTATTCACATCTTACACTGCACTGTAACTTTATTCATATACCTGTGTTGTTCATGTTTTATTATCTTCAAAAATATTAATCTTTTATTGTTAGTTGATTTATATTTTGTTGTATCTAATATTCTGAATCTATAAAGTAACAAACTAAAGGGCCCAAATGATATAGTAAAGTATAAAGTACAATATTGGCTGCTAAAATGTAGTAAAAGTATTAAGTAGCATAACATTACAAGACTAATTTTAGAAGGTACAAAACAAGGTTTTGGTGAATGTTTATCCATGAAAAAATTGTATTCTGTATTTTGTATTTTAATCAATGAAAAATGCAAAGTTTTAACTTTTTTTCAAAATCATGTCTTAAGAAATAATTTCCATGCAAATACGATACAATATATTTTTGATGAAATTAATGAATAAATCAATATTACATTTCTAACTCTACAGTACATGTTGCTGCAGTTGTTTTTATTGAAATAAGATGAGAAGATTCATGAATGTGTACATGTAGTATATCCAAAGTTATTCAACGTTTCATATTAATAATCGCTGTGTGGATTTATAATGTAGGGAAATCTAGATGTTCTAGCAGCAACAGAATAATAGAGAAACACAGATAGTCCACATGAGAATATAGACGGGGATAATATGAATAAAATAAAATAAGAATAATCATGTAGTAACAGTATTAATAGAGATAAAAAAAACAACATAAATTAATCTCTGATCAGGTGAATTATTTATACAGATTATGTGAACTAGCTTAAATATATATACATTTAAATGTGCAGGTACCAGCAGCGCGGGAAGAGAACAACTCAAATTATCCATTTAAAGTTAGCGCAGATAAATCATCCCTTCGGCAGATGAATGTACACCTATTCAGGGGTGGGAAAAGTCGTGTACTTCGGTAACGGAGTGTAGGAATAGTCTTCCTGAATTCAAAAATGTTGCTCAAGTCAAAGTAAAAAGTATAAGCATAAAAATGTACTTAAAAGTAGGCCTACTCATTGTGCAAATTGATCCTTTTCAGAATAATATGGTATGTTATGATTATAATTATTGCATTAATGTGTTTATCAAAGCTGGTAAAGGTGCAGCTTATTTTAATCACCTTTTGTACTGCAGGGTAGCGTAATGCAGGTGTAACGAATGTCTTATTTAAGTGTAGTTTATATTTCACATCATCAAACAACATCTGCAAAGTCACTAAATATATTAAATAAACGTAGTGGAGTAAAAGTACACGATTTACCTCTGAATTGTAGTGGGGTGGAAGTACAAAGTAGCAACAAATTGAAATTCAAGTAAATTACAGGTCTGTCAAAATTGTACTTAAGAAAAGTAAGTAATGTACTTAGTTACTTACTTTACACCAGGGCACCTTTTCTATCAATTTATTATTTTGAGTTGTTCTTACTCCTCCTCACCACTAGGTGTCCTCGCAATTTCTTTTTCCACTTTTTTCACTTCCGGTCCCCAGTCGTGAGCCACGAACAGGAAACCAGCTCCACACACGTGAAACACTCAGCCATAACATCTGACACAAGATGGACATTACAGAGGTTCCCGTGAGTAATAACAATAAAGGTAAGAAAAAGGAGTATAAGAAGCCAAAGAACAAGAGTGTGACAAAGGAGCGAAATGCAGTGGAGCCGAAGCTGGAGCCGAAGCTGGAGGCGAGCGAGGCTGCCTTCCCCCCCACCTTCAGTGTGTCCGAAATCAAGAATAAACAGCGAAGACACCACATGTTCATGAAATTCAAGCTGGAGAAAAGCAAGGTAAACACACTGTTAAGTTGTAATTGAGCAAGTAAATCACACATAGCTGCCATTTTATTGGGTATTACCTAGTTTGAACGAATGCAGTCCTGATACAACGCCCTGCTGTTAGTAGCCTACTACATTACTGAAGGTTCCGGTCTGGGTAAAACCTCTTCTTTTTGTGGTGGTGTTTTAACTTTTTTTCGGTATTTTTAATCGTATGACTCCCCTCATTCATGTCTCAAAGTGAGTCAGTTAATATGTGTTTATACTGAGCACATCTTACACTTTTACTTTACTTGTATGATTATTCTATTAACAGAAAAATAACATATTGTCAACAAATGTCATAAAACAATTGTATACAATGCTCTTTTCAATCTCTCAAATGTGTTCGTTTCTTTCTTATGAAACTGAAAATCTAATGTACTTTTTTTCAGTGTTAATGTCTTATTTCTTCATATTTCAGCTAAAGTTGCAAGTGAAGAAAAAGAAGAAAAAAGAAAGGGAAGCTTTAGGTGACAAGGTGAGTTTGTTTACCCTCTATTTTGTTCAAATTCTTAATGAATTACATACGTTTGTTATGTTACCTCTAAATCATACCATTCAGCAAGGTGAGAGCATGAATAGCACTAATTGTATCTTTTATTCTGTCCCTCATGAAGGCACCACCTAAAGAAGTCCCAAAGACGATAGAAAACCAGAGGGTTTACGACGAGACAACAGTCGACCCAGAAGATGAAGAGGTAAGGAGCGAGTTTGGCTGAGCTTATTCTAACTATCTCAGGTTAAATTGTTACTGAATATGCATTTATTTGTTTTCCTGTTATGCAGATTGCATTTGACGAGGGAACTGATGAATTTTCTGCCTATTTCAACGGGTTGACAAACCCAAAAGTGCTCATCACAACATCGGACAGACCAAGAGGGGTGAGTGGCTGCTGCCCGGCATCATACATGTCTATTACTTTTGACTCTTTTCAGTTTCCAGAACCTGTCACCCTTAACAATATCAAAATGCAAAAAAACATACTCTTGAAGGAAATTAGGCCTGGAGCTCAAATTCATTTTTTTCCAAATCAATAAAATGACAATGACAGCACTTCTGATATTTTTTGCAAGGAATATTACTAGTCACTTATTACTTATACCATTATTACTAGATGAAGTACATTTTTATGATGTTCTACTGGTAGATTTGGAAACACTTGTATACTATGCCCAGGGTTGGGAGGGTTACTTTGTAAATGTAATCAGTTACTGAATACATGGCTCTGAAAGTAATCCGAATACAGTTACAGTTATGTGTCTTAAATAAGTAACGTCATCAGATTACTTTCTTTTTCCATCACAGATGGGTATGTTTTGGTTAACCGGAGTTTTTGGCTTATCAAGAGCACAACTGAAACATAACATCTGAAACGATGTAACAACATAATACACTTTTTGGGGATGCAGCTTGGGATGTGAGGAGTGAGGGACACCGCTTAGAACGGGCGTGTCGCCTTCTGTCCTGCCAGTGTTGGCAGGACATGAATTAAAATGTCGAACTCGGACTTCATTTTAAGGACATGTCGGCCAGGGGTGTAGAGCTATATTTGTTTAAGCACCGGATTGGCAAAACAGGAGAGTGTGTGCACCAGTCTGCCTTGATCTATGAATTCATGTCTGTGACTCTCACAGTATCTGCTGCCCGCAGCTGTTTTATAGAAGGAAAACCTCCTTCACTTCATGAAATCTCTGCAGCACCAGGAGGCAGCGGGAGGGTTAACTCAGCCTCTGAGAAGAGGAGCGCGCAGTGCCTTTCACGCACCGCCTTCACTGTGTTTACCTTCAGAATCATCAGAAAGGCTAAGAGTGACCGCAGGCTGGTGTGTTTTAACCACACACACCTATATACACACACACACACACACGATTTAAACGCAGACTTTAGTTCCTCCACGTTTCGTTGTTATTGTTTCACTGAGCGGACCTGCAATTTTTTTTCAAACGCTCCCTTTTTTGTTCCATCTGCGCGGTAATAGGTTTTGTGCGCTGTGATGATTCGGCTGTACCTTTAGTAATGAATATTGAATGTTGTGAGGAAATCTTTCCACCAATAAGTAATCCAAAATGTATTCACTTCAGGTTTACGAAAGTAACTGTAATCAGATTACTCGGTTTTCAAATGTAACGCCAGCTGAATACAGTTACTTGATTTTTGTATTCTGATTACGTAACGCCGTTACATGTATTCCGTTACAACCCAACCCTGACTATGCCCCTATATTGTGTTGATGTATATACAAAAAATACAACTGGACTATGTCCTTTATTTCAGCCCCACTTTATTGGCAGTTTGGCATGCGCACCTCCGCCAAAAAAAGAGCACCGGGTCATTTGAAAAAAGGCGCATTTGCGTACCAACATGGAGAGAGAGGAGAGAAAGATATTTGCGAGTTGCATATGAACTCAGGGCCGGCCCGTAGCCCTGGCGTTATAGATGTTCGCCTAGGGCGCCAGATCTGTGGAGGTGCTGCGCTGGCAGCTCTGGGAGGGAAAAAAACATTTTTCACCGTTGGGGCTCATCCTAATTTTCGGCCTTGATGTAACAATATTCATAATTAAGTAAATGTAACACCCTTTTCACCGCGGTTACACGTTTCATTTGCCCTGTATGATGGGCGCTGTAAGTGATGAAAATGGGGGATGTTGGCTTATCTGGCGCCCGCAGCTCACAGCCAAAATGCGAGTGAGTGTGGGAGCGAGGGAGGGTGCACCGGTTCCAGCGCTGTTGTTATTAGCATCTGGTGCTAGCTGCTCTAACGGCTATAAGAAGAAGATGTTTCTACAATTATGTGGAGGGAGAGTCCTCTCCAGTCAGACTGAGAGGCTGATAACTACAGCTCAGTGAGGTAAAGGACTCTGAGTGTTTAGATAGTTCACTTTAGTCTAAGTTCAAACGTTTTGATCACAATTTATGTAAACACATATTTCCAAGGCACTCCTTTGTAATTATTGGGATAAACAGGTTTTAAATCATTCCAATGTATACTATAGGACAGTAACCACAAATATCCTTTAAAACTGGAGATAAAAAAAAAATGCATAAATAAATAAATGTTAAGGTAAAATAAGATATGAATGAACACAAATAAAATAAGTTACATTAATTTGTTATTGGCTATGGTAGGCTATTGGTTATGTTCACATACTTATTTGATTACATCCACTTGTCTAAGATGACAACAGAGACTTTCGACCCAAACCCAGCTGTTGACTTGTGGATGCAAGCAGCTAATCGCAGACTCAACCAGAGAGAAAGTAGTAGGCCTCCATCATCAGCTACCATGTCTGACAGAGAGGAAGACAGTGAGGAGAACAGTCAGGAGGGTAGTGATGACAGCTTGTAGGATTACTGGTCGTGCTAATGTTGTCTTGTGTTCACCTCTGCATGTGTGTTCTGTGTTCACCTCTGCATGTGTGTTCTGTGTTCACCTCTGCATGTGTGTTCTGTGTTCACCTCTGCATGTGTGTTTAGTGCCGTGTGTCTGGCAAATAAAGTCAAGACCCCTCAAAAGTTATGGTTTATTTCATTTTAAGGATGAGCACCAAGCAACATCTCCAGGTGCTCCTTTGAGAACCAGGGCAAAAAAGTTATGTGCACCCCTGTAAATAATAATAAGCTTTGTCTGCTCTTTGTACATACACTGGGTTAGCATAACGCAGCAGATAATGAAACGTTGAGGCTGTTTAACATCCAGTGTGTGTAATTGACATTTGAGGTGCTTTGTGAATTGTTACTGAGGTGGGAATTGGAGTCTGCTTAGGCTTTTTCTTACTCGTCATCAGTTTTCAAACACTGTTTGTTTAACACTTTGATACCTCTAATGTTTTTTTCTTGTAGAGGACGGTGAGATTTTGTGAGCAGCTGGCCACAGTAGTCCCGAACGCCCACGTGTACTACAGAAGAGGTTTGGCCCTGAAGAAGATCATCCCTCAGTGCGTCGCCAGGAACTTCACCTACCTCATGGTCATCAATGAAGATCGCAAAATGCCCAGTATCCTCAAAGGCAGCATATATTAATCCCTGTCATCTAGTATTTATTTTGTATTCTTATTCTTTATTAGGCTCCCCATTAGCACTAGCATGATCATTGGCTATTCTTCCTGGGGTCCTCACACACAAAAAACATACATAAACATGCATAAAACAATACAGCTCATCATTTCATGACATTTACAGTGCTATATGAAATGAAAACTTTCATTGCTGTTATTTAGATTATTAATTAAGTCTATGTGATTTTGAGCACATTTTTTAAAGATAAGATGTACTTTATTGATCCCAAATTGGGAAATGTTTGATTTGCAGAAGCATAACAAACCAAACAAGGCATTGCACATGAGTAGAAATAAACAATTCCAAAATGTAAACATCTCAAAATAGAAATAAAACGGCACTAAAAAGTACAAAATATACAGTAGACCATGAAGATAAAAAAAAACAATATACTCTGCAAATAAAACACTATTGAAGGGCCAGTTTTCAGTTAAAAAAATAACTATAGAGACTACTATATTAGGTGAAGGCTGAGTGTTGAATGTAAAACTTATAAGTATCTAAATAAGTGAAATAGCTCTACACTGGCATTTTAACTAGGCAAGCTATTCAAAGTTCTAGCTCACTTTTTTAATGTCACCTTCCTTAACCATGACTTTAAGATGGATTGGTTCTTTGTCATCTTCCTGATGGGCCAACTGCACACTTCAAGATCAGCAGCGTTCGACTACGCAAGGAGATGAAGGCAAGTGGATGTCTTTTTTCTGTTTCTGTTATGATTAAATGGCACATTTGTAATTCCATGACAATAATAAGCATCTCTTTAAAACTGACAGTAGGAGAAGAGTTGCCGTGTTCAATGTATTATACTGCCTTTCCATTGGGGTCGTTCCCATTTCTTGTGAAGGTGTAATCTCAGTAACACATTTTGGGAATTTCTTCAACTTCATTGCAAAAAAAATGTCTTGTAGCATAAAATGAGGTGATACCATTTTGGATAGAAATGGATGTGAACTGCAACCTGACTGATAAGCGAAGGCTGTACTTCTAGTTTTATATACAGAGCAAGTGTTGCTTATCATTACTTATATTTTCCCTCGGCAGAGACGAGGCAAAGATCCAACTGAACACTCCCCCGAGGTGATCCTCAACAACTTCACCACACGTCTGGGCCACAGCATCGGCCGGCTGCTCGCTGCCCTCTTCCCACAGGACCCTCAGTTTGTGGGTCGACAGGTCGCCACCTTCCACAACCAGAGAGACTTCATCTTCTTCAGGTTTCACAGGTGAGTTATCTTAAGTAATTCTGATTGTGTGCCTAGTAGGGGTGTAACGGTATCCGTATTCGTCCCGTCACGGTTCGGCACATGCAGTCACACGGCGAATACGCCTTTTTTTACGAGTGGGAAAAAAGTCTGTCACTCAGGGCAGTATTACACTATATATAATCCAGGGGGCGGTATTGCGCCTAAAAGCCAGCCGCCTGTAAATAACAAATGAAGAACAAGAACAAAACGAACACAATACATCAAGAAGAATAGTTAGTAGCTATGGCGAGTTCACACAACACACAGGAGCTAGAAGACCCACCTGCTTCTTTTAAATCAGCTGTGTGGGAACATTTCGGGTTCCCTGTGGACTACAACAATGATGGGGTGCGAGTTGTGGATCGGACATTGTTCGACAGCGATGCGGTATGATAGTGGTAACACGTCAAACATGCTCAATCACATCCGAGTCGGTCTCAGTCCCCAGCGAGAGGGTTTTCTCGATGGCAGGTGACATAGTTACCGCCAACAGATCTGCCCTCACTACTGACAACGTAGACAAACTCATCTTTTTGAAGAAAAACTTGAAAATAGAGTAAAGCTTGAGTACCTTTATTTAGGCATAATGGCCTCACACACTCACAAGTTAATTACACATGTTAGACATTGCTCCTAAAGGTACAGATTTTATTTAGTTTTATATTTATCATTGTATTTATTTTATATTTTGACATCAGGAGATGTTATACAGTTCTGTATTGCCTTTTATTGATTGTGATTGAAACACGTTCTTATTATTTATTTAAATATTTTCAAGACATTCTTTTTAGTTGTACACCTTTTAGTTTGACATTAGCCATTATAAATAATATGGCCATCTGAGTGTGAGTGTTACTGTTTGTGGTTTGTTTTTAACTGTGTAATAGTGTTGCACGGTGTACCGATACTTGAAAGGTACCGCGATACCCTGCCGTTAAAAACGGTACGATTCCTCCGTTTCATTAGTATCGGTACTTTAAGAATGACGGGGAAAAGTACTCCGGTGAGAAAGCGCCTTTTTAATAAGAGCCGTGTGTGTTCAGCGCTCTGCTTCCATTCCCTGCACTGCAGCCGTGCCTGCAGTCCCTCCCCTCTCAAGCACGTTCTAAGTCCCTCCCCTCTCTCGTGCACGCGGCCACGCGCTAGCTGCCAGAGCATGTGAGAAAACGAGAAGCATGGCTGCAAGTGGGAGTGCAACTGCCGCTGCGCCTCGGCTTGTTGACAAAAAAGACGCCAGAAGCGAAATTTGGAAGTATTTGAGCTATATCTCTGTCAGTGAGGGCAAGCCTACGGACACCACGAGGCCTGTCTGTGAGAAATGTTTTAGATCCCTGCAAACCAAGGGAGCCAACACATCAGACTTGGCTAAGCACCCGCCGACCGGCATCCAGAGCTGTTTAAAGACTTTAAAGACAGACAGGTTAGCGAATTTGATAGATAACATAATTACATCATGCTCAAGCCCTCAGATCTAAGTCAAACAAGTGTAATTTATTTTGTGACAAACGAACGTTTTCGTAGTTTGACGAGGCAATTAATGGCAATGATAACTGTCTAATATGGCTATCTTTTTGCTAACTTACCAATGTGGCTAACATCTGCAATATACATTTTGTCAATAATTATTTATATTACTGTACTATTACATGTTAATAAAATATAAAAAAATATATATTTTATAAAACAAAAAAGTTGTTTGAGATGATGCTTAATTTTATTTAATACAAATTCTTGTCATTTATTTTGTTTATTGTTCTCATTGTTTAAAAGTTTGTGTTATGGTTCTGGTGTGAAATAAAGCACAATAATTACATTTAAGACTGTTTCCCTTTTTTTAAGAAAAGAATCGGAATCGCAATTCTTGACTTGGTATCGGTATCGAAACCAAAATGTTGGTATCGTGACAACACTACTGTGTAATACAGTTAATGATTCCAAATGTTAGAGTTCCTTATTTTCATACCAAAACTTGCACTACTGTTAAAAATAAATAACAGCAACAAAATTATGCATTTGGAACTTTTGTTGCTTTTCCTTGTTGTACCGAACCGTGACCGCCAAACCGAGGTATGAACCGAACCGTGACTTCTGTGAACCGTTACACCCCTAGTGCCTAGTCATATAACCAGGGTTCTTACGGTCATTAAAAACCTGGAAAAGTCATGGAAATTCAAAAATGTTAATTCCAGGCCCTGGAAAAGTTTTAGAAATGTAACAAGTTGCATCATATATAATTTATATTTTATCTAATATTTTATCTAATTACCGAAATAGTAATACTATAATGATGATAAATACTGTATCGTATAGTAATGAAGTGTAAAATGGCATTTCACTGACGAGGTATTTTGCTGGTGAGAGATTATATGGCGCGTTTCCACTGCAGCGGGTAGCTCGCTTTAAGCGTGCCGAGCCGTGCGGGGCCCGTTTTTGGTTGCGTTTCCACTTGGCCTAGTTTAGGCCCGGGGCTACTTTTTCACCTTTTTTCTGGCCCGACTAAATCGTGTTTCTAGGGCCAGGAACAACCAGGCTGAGTATGCTAAACTAGAGAGAGAATCGCTGGCAAGGGGGCTACAACTACAACAAGATGAACATATTTGACTGTGATTTAATTGTAATACACGTTTCAAAATGATGCCGAAGTAACAACATACTGATACCGGTTAGTAAAAACCATGAATTAATGCTTTGGCAAGTCTGCAGACAGACGGCAGGCGAAAAACCCTTTTTAAAATGCGTGTTTTCTAAATGGAGCTTGGCTAAGCTAACGTTATGTATGCTCCGACCGTCCACACTCACAACAACGGCCTATACAGACATAAATAAACCAGCGACTGTATTCGCCATGACACAGGCAGTCTGTGGTTTGTACTTGTTTAACTTTTGTCTCGTTTCTGAACAGATATGAAGAGCTGTGAGCTCTGAGTGCTAACAGCTAAGTTGTTTTTCTGGGGCTCTCATTGAAGATGACGTCACGGCTCCGCCTACACTGCGTTACTATAGTAACTGCCCCAGTTCCTAAACTGTAATGGAAGCGCAGCATTAAAGTGAGCCGGGCCTAATAAGGCCTAACCAAACCGAGCGAGGCCTGCAGTGGAAACGCGCCATTAGTTGCTTTAGCGTGTAGAAGCTAGTAAGCCTACTATTTGATTTGTTTTAGATAACACAACATGGTTGCGTTCCGATAATCCAAAAATTAGCTCCTAAGTTCTAACCCTATCTCCTATTCCTTGACCTCTGAGTGAAACGTCACGGGGTTAAGGGATAGTGGATAGGAGAATTCAAAAGGATTTAGGAGAAGAGACCGCGGTACTTTAGAGAATCCGAATGCACTTTCACTATCCGACGTGTTTATAATGCGCCAGCGGACGTCATGAATGTGCGTCTGCTGCTGTGGGGAAACTATGGAAACTACAGTTTTCTATACAGCGGACTACAACATGGATGTTCAATAAGAACGAGGGACTACTGTAAACTCATCTAGAGACTCTGTACCGTGCTCTGATGCTGTTGCTTTATGCTTTATGAACGTGGACAACAGAGAAACATATTCTTCAGGACCAAAGTTGGAATTGAAATAAAAAAGGAAAGTGAAACTTATGCTCGTCACCCTCTCCCTCCGGTCCACATATGATTGTATGAACTATTAAAAGATCTTAAAATAAATACAAATGTATTTATTATAAACGTTAGTCCTTAACATCTATCACTGTGTATATCACCATTCAAACATCTTTTAAAAGTTGAACAACCCCACACAGCTCAGTGAAATGTTGACTTTATTTGATCATTTCAGTAAAAACTAACGTTCATATTTCTCTTTTTGATTATAATACTGATGAACGTTCAAAACAAAGCACTTTGGCAACTTACCACATACGTTTTAAAATGCTTAATAAGCACCGTAACTTTCATGATATCATTTCTCCCATTATCGTTTGTGTCCGTGAACGGCCGACTGTTGAGTGACGGCAAATGCTGCGGCTGCAATGCAGCATTTTCTCCTCTCCTTTCGGCTAGGGAGGTCCAGTGGTTCCTAAGCTAAAGGAGGTTATAAAGGAAGTTTGAAACCTCCTTTCCTTTCATTTGGAGAATTGGAACGGCACTTATCATGGCTGCCAGTGACGTACTTCCGGGTCATTTCACTTGATTAGGAAGGTTCCTAAGCTAAATGGACTATTGGACTGGGCCCCATGTTTCATATGCAGACCTTATTTTCCTGTTCCATGTTAAAATAAACCATTTTCAGTGGTACCGCTGAGAGAGTAATGTTTTTGGTCATGGAAAATTAGGTAACGGTCATGGAGAAGTCATGGAAAATCATTGGTGAAAAAGTGTATGAACCCTGTATAACACATTACCTTTTTTTGTATTTGTTCAAGCCAGTGCATCTTACATTTAGAGTGTCTAATAAACAATTATTTGTATTTCTGAAGGTACATCTTCAAGAATGAGAAGAAGGTTGGTATTCAAGAGCTCGGCCCTCGCTTCACCCTCAAACTCCGCTCTCTCCAGAAAGGCACCTTTGACTCAAAGTTTGGAGAGTATGAGTGGGTCCTTAAGGTTAGTCTCAGTCTTTACTTTTACTTGAAAAATAGCTGTTATAGTGAAACTTAGACAGCACTTTAATATTAGTAAATGTCTCTGTGCCATCTGCATGGTATTGATGTTTGAATACATTTGGTAGACTGATTTGCTGCCAGGTTTTCCGTTATTCATAAAGGATTGCAATGAACTTCAATGACTTGAAAATGAGAGGTAAAATAGGTGTTCTGTCCCAGTCTCTTTCTGTAAAGCTAAAAATACCCTTTTTTTGTTTCCAGCGCCATGAGATGGATGCCTGCAGAAGGAAGTTCCAGATTTAAGTGCAAAATAACATCCAGCGCTTTGGGTCAGGAAAGGACGGCCGTGTATATTATCCAATAAATTACTACCGTTTGTGACAAATGGACTTTATAGTGGATATCCGGTTCTTTGTGGACAACCATTTACTTTGATGTGCAGCTTTGATCACATCATGCTAGATTCACACTTGTCCTGAAAGGGACCTTTACTGTATAAAGCTGTATCTGTATACCAAGTGTGGGACAGCTGCCTGTTGGAAAGACTTTCACACATTGGCAGAAAACCAGAGGATAAATGCAGCCCTCCACATGGACCCAATAACCTGAACAATTTGACCCGTGAGTGAAACTCATTAATGGATCCTTTTAAATGTATCTCGAAACGTAATGAATGTGACCCAAATTAAATTCAGAAAATGTGAGCTTTTCCTGGTCACAACCTGTAGTCCATGCAGACATACTGTTACGTCCTGTGTAAATAACACAATGAGCCGTGAATTAAGTGAAACCGTGTCTGGAAATTGGTAGATGGTTCCAATTGTGTCTACAGTGCTTTTGTATTTCATAGAGATTTGAAAATAAGATACATTGAACACATTTGCTGCAACTTAAAAATGTGGAAAATACATTTATTTATTCTCAAAAATCAGGCATGGAACATTTTACAATTCAAAAAGGCACGATTTGGGTTAGTTATTTCCAAGCAAGAAGGTTAAGACTTGTATTGTGCCATATAAGCACCTGGAAATGTTTCTATCACAGTTTACAAAGGCAAGCATTAAAAAAAAAAAAACCTTAGGTTAGTTTCTTGTTCGCAAATTCCCATACGCTCCTGAGACGAATCAGTCCACAGCGCAAGTCCAACAACGCTTCACAATGTCCAAAAACCTGCAAGAATGTCACATGCATTAGTTGGACCCAATGAGAATTTTACTTGAAGATACTGCAGTACTGTACACCTACAATCAAGATACAACAATTGTCCCCAAAGTGTATGGGCTCTAACAGGATGATTGAGAGTGGAGCATAAAAAGAAGCTGTGTGAAAATTAAATATGTTTTTTTAAGTTGACTAAGATACTGCAAACAATGTGGCTGTAAATTGCAATCTTTTGAAAGCTATGAGTAATAATGGTGCAGGTTTTTACTTAAATGCAATACTTATTACATTGATAAATATACAACATGTTGGTATCATAACTCAGTTACAGGTGGGTTAACCGCGTTATTTTTTTACTTTAGTTTTTGTCGAAACATTAAAATCATTGTCGAGACTATTAGTATAACTATTTGACAGAACTACAATATGTATGGTGTAAGAACCAGAACCCAATGAAGAAAATAATGTGCTTTTTGACATTGTATGTGCAGTCTTAAAGATATTTCCTTTTTCCTAAGCGACTTCATTATAACAATAATTGCATGATAAAGGGTTGAGGCCTTTGGTTAAAGAGTGTAATTTAACAAAAAAGTGGTTGGTTCGTAAGAATCTTATTGTTTCCCCATTACCTCCTCAGTAGGTAATGATGGTACTGAAAGAGCACATCAACACATTGTATACAGTCCCCATTATACGTTTTGTTTTAACATGACTAATGTGTGGAGAAAATGACGGAGCTTTCCGAGCAGAATGAGTGCAGTAGTACTCACAGAGGCAGAGGGTTTGCAGGTGTGTTGGTTGGTGCTATAGGAAGGAGCAGACCTTCTGCGGTCTGAACGGGTTGGTGCTGGTGGCCATGCCGCAGAGCAGAGGGTCCTGCTGGGCGTGCTGCAGGCAGAATTGCTGCAGGTCCGCGGCGGCCTGGGACACCTGTGGGAGACAACACCGGAGAGTTAATAAACCAGCAATCCTAAGAATTCAAATTACAAAGTTGAACGACATTATCTGTGTTAGAAAGAGACACTAGCAACAAATAACAACACTAAAGAGTGACGTTAACTCACCTTTACTCTGTTGATGCCCGCTTCGAGACGTAACTGTTGGACGACTTTCTTCATCGCCACAATGCTCGATGAGCCCGACATTGTAAAGATTGTGAGGGTTAGGAACGATTAAGAAACTTTTACAAACAAATTGCTTTTGGTATGTAGCCTGCTGATCACTCCTTGATCAGAGAGTTTCCGGTTTTCTTTAAAGGAGTGTCAGTCGGTGCTGCCTTCAAGGGGTGTTGTTCAAATGGAAATAATATTTTCAATTTATTCCCCCCACAGTTATAACATAGAATTTACACCAAATGCCATTGCGAAGATGTACAGATGAGTTTTTATAGTTTAGTTGGAACTCAACCTAACTATTTACGCTATAAATTCAGAGCAATGAAAGAAATAAGCGCAGTTTTTACATTACTAAAGCTTTGGTTAATGTATCACCCAAAATGTGTCTTATACCTCGTCTTTATCATCGATTGTTGACGTATGTAATCTCTGTGCTTTCTTCAAAACTGAAATAAATATCTATCTTCTATTTTTTGGGAGGCGGGGACTTTTATTTTGTATCGTCAAAAATTATAATTACGACGACCTCCAGTGTGCTTGAAAGCTGCATTAAAGCTTAATGAAACGAAATTGCGACCTCTAGTGGTGATGAAGCATTATCACAGTCAGACACCCAAATTACATTTAAACCTGTTATCCTGTGCGGTATTATTTATAAAAGGTGTCTTTAAATGCAAAAGTTATACAGGCAGTAAATTAGATGAACAAAATAAAACAAACATCTGATAACTTTAAACCACAGACGGGTCGCCAAGTCTTTATATACAATTTTCCAATTTTTAGTAGGCTATTAATTCAAAAATAATGTAAAGTAAAATGGTATAACTTCCATACCTATTCAACTTTCGAAATCGGTTCATTATTATTAAAAAAAACCGCACGAATGTGTCCAAATTCTGAATTATAACTGCAAAACCGAAGCAACTTGTGGACAATGCGGGCTCTGGTCCTCCTTCTTTCTGCACAAGTTGTCATCACCAGCACCAGAGCAACCAGGACTGGCAAGCTCATAAAACAAACTCCACGGGACCGTGTTTGATCCACCAGATAGGTACTGAGCAGACCACGCCTTCACAGCTGACACAAACAAAGCTTACTGCGAATAAACCTAACAAAAATCTACCGTCATTTAGTGAGTTATCAGCTTCTCTTCATGCTGCTCTGGACTGATAATGCAGCTGTCCTGTGAGTCAGTGAGACATGCAGAGGACCGAAGACCGGCCAGCTGCAAGGTACGGTGAGGGAATCCATGCATCATTGCAAAAAGTCGTAGTATGCTGCAGGAATGTGAATGTATTAGAGTGAACACAAGTTAATTATAAAAGCAAATGCAGTTTTACTTTCACTGCTCATAATGCAAGTACACACTGAAATGTGTTGTATGTGTTTAGTTCTTAGAGCTCCATGTGTTGTATGTGCCAGGTGACCAGTGGAATGTGAAGCTGAATAAAGTCCCTGCTGAAGCCATAGAGAGCTTCATATCTGCCGGATTCATCAGGTGAAACTGCTGCACATGTTTCATTTGATGCAAGAAACCAAACTCAGAAGATATTACTGTTGACTGACTATGTTTAAATGGCAACGTTAAGTGTTCAAATTCATTTCCAAAATGAAAAAAACATATTTACTTTAAGTAAAGGAGTAATAACACACATCTTTGAGTGTTATTTATTGTTGTGACATGTAACAGTCTGTTGCAGCTGGTTAAGGTGGTGTACAGTTGGATTGTTACAGATATAGAAATGCTGATGTAAACTGTATATATATATATATATATATAAAACTATAGCAGTTTTAACTATTTTATAGTCCTATTCTGCAAAGTAACCACATCTGCTACAAACACAGTGAAGTAAAAAGCACCATATTTTTCTCTGAATTTTGGTTGGATGAATCTATACAGCCTCAGAATACTTCAAATGTACTTATCTTTCACCTGCATCATTACTACTTTCAAATACTGATTTGTTAATCATATTGAAACTGAAGAACCAGAAAGCATTTTTCTATTCAAGGAAACATACAACTTTCCCTCCAAGGGTTTAATTATGTTTCATTAATCCACTGAAGATTACTGACTGTTTCTCATGTTCTGTTTCAATGTTTTGTACAGCTATAATTATATGTTGTATAACAGATATCTAAAATATCCTTTTCATCCCTGTGATGTCAGGGTTTATCCTGATATCACCCTGAAAACTCTGAGGACAGAGCTGAGAGCTTTTCTTGGCGCTGAGAGGAGCATCGACAAATTCTCTTTTCTGAAATGTGTGGGGCGCAGTTTGGCTCTGGTGAGTGCAGCTGGCGTTTTACTGTTGTTTTATATAGCTGGTTGTGTTTCACCGAGCAGACAATAGAGAGAAACGAGGCAGACAGTTGGATTGACAAGTTTACTATTCAAGCTGCTGACACTGTGTGTGTGTGTGTGTGTGTGTGTGTGTGTGTGTGTGTGTGTGTGTGTGTGTGTGTGTGTGTTGTGTGTGTGTGTGTGTGTGTGTGTGTGTGTGTGTGTGTGTGTGTGTGTGTGTGTGTGTGTGTGTGTGTGTGTGTGTGTGTGTGTGTAAAACGTTTTTACTATCACGCCTTCTATAACAACATTCTTTAATACTGCAGGTCAAGAGCAAACAGGAGGGGGATCTCAAAGTGAAGACATTCGCGCCACCGTATGTATGTAGAATCCATGTCCAAATGTACATCGTTTTTCTTTGGAATAGTCTGATGCATAATGTATTGACTAAACACAGGTTCATGTAATTTAAAGAATTTCCTTACCATTTAGCTTTTTTCTTGCATTGTTATTGGAATCCCTTATATTTTCGGTTTGATAGAAAATAGTATTTGGATTTTTCAAAAAAATCTAAATGTCTAAATGTCTCTTATCTTCTGCTTCCAATCCCAGTGGATGGATTACAGAGATATGTTGTTGCCATGTTTAACCTTTAACCACAAAATGACCATTTCCATATCAACAACTCACATGAGACTACTTGTGTGAAAATATATCAAAAGTGAAAAATATAGTGAAAGTATTTAGCAAACAGCTGGATAAATGACACTGCAATTATACTGCACGAGTTGTGCGGTAAGCTGGTAAACATAGGTTTTGATGTAGTTTGGTTGTTGTTGCATGGCCGTCATTTACTTAAATTCATCAAGACTTTTCTCAGTGTTTTGATTATTTATTTGCCATATTATTTGGCATGTTTAAAGAAGGTTCTTTGAAATAATTCAAAGTAACAAAGGGTGAGTTTTTGCTATATAAATGGTAATTTTGTGAGTGAAGTATTTCTTAAATTATATTATTCTATTCCATTTTATACCATCCAACACAATTTTCCCTTGTTTTTTATGAACAATGATTTTTTGTTTGTCATTGTTTGTTAACCTTGTAATTGCATATTATCCTGTGATCTACAGATGTCAATAATAGTACCTCTGCCTCTTTATGTTCCTGTTTGGCTGCACTAATGTGTTGCTGTCACCTGTCGGCAGGCCCCGCAGCCGGAGCTCTACCTGCTGCCCGCTGTGGAGAGCGACAGCAGTGTTTGCTCCCAGTCTCTCACCCCAGACACCAGCAGCAGCTCGCCGGACCAGCAGACCTATTACCAGCCTCCAAAGACCTGCAACCAGCCAGCAGGAACAAAGGAGCCTGTTAAATTCCCCCTCATCCCCCAGTGTTCCCATCAGCTACCTCCCACCCCCAGCCTGGGAGAGGAGGAAGAAGAGGAGGTAGATGAGGAGCAAAGCTATAGTTCTTCAGAGGCAGAAGGAGACAATGAAGAGGGTCTGTCTTCCAACTTAGAGTGGGCAGAGCAGCAATGTTGCACAAAGAAGCATCGCAATCAAAGGGCACCACAGCCTGTTTCACAAAATAACGGTAAAATATACTGAAGTTTTCTGTGCAGCATTAAAAGCATTGTCCTCTCCAACTTTCCGATTGTGATGCCTCACACTTTACATTCATCTTGGTTCGCCATCTCTCTTAAAATCGGCCAAATCTGGGGGTTATTGCAGTTACTTTATGTGAAAAAAGTGCAGGTTTCTGTTACTTAAACCTGCTGAAATTCACTATGTTTTAGGACAGATCTTGTGACCCGTATCCTTATGGTATACTGTATGTCAAAAGAAAATGGCTTTCAGTCTTGCATATATAAAACATCAACATCCCCATGTTCTTTAAAAAGCATATTTCAGCAAACGCACAAGAACGCAGACACAAAACTATACTGTACATTACAAAGTTATTTTCGGATTAAATGTGAACATCACATTGGCATTTTATAATATGGGTAACCAGCACTTTTTACATTAGTGGAATCCAGCTGTGCATCTGCCACCCAACATCTTAACATTGACATGTTTTAAGCCCTTTTAAAACTAATCCTATGATCTCATTACTATACTCAGCTATTCAGTCTCTATAAATCTAAAGCTGTACAGCGTTGTGAGGCAGATTCAGATGAGGTGAAGGAAAATGAAGAAACCTGCAGAAAGAAGAAACAGCACCAGAGACAGAACAGAGGAGCCAGAGACTCAGGAGCAGTCCAGCCTCTGGAGGACAGAGATTCAGGCTTTTCTCTCTCAGATGGGTACTGAGCATTATTACTGAGAGCCATACTTGTACTCTGCAGTGAATACCAGTTTGTTCGGCTGCTGCTTGTTCTAACAGTGTGTTGTTTTGCAGGCTGGGGAAATCAAAAGACGCACATGCACTGAAGTCCATCAGGAATAAACAAAGCAGTGATGTAAAGTATTGCATTACTTATGTCCAAGCTTTTTCCCAGCATCAGTCTCAGCATCTCTTATTCAGGCTATACTCTTGAGTATAACACTTTGAGAAAGGTTGCTCTTCATTGATTTTACAGGGTTTTTAAAACAAGTAGGAAATGTCCAGTTTGTTGAAAGTTGTTTTGGTGTAGTGATAAGTCCACATTCCACAACCAGCAGGTGGGTCTAGTGAAGTGTGGGAGGTCTTTAAAGTGAAAAAGGGCAGGAATAAAGACTAATCCATTCAAATCCTTTGAGATATAGACTCATGTGTTTGTTGCTTGTTTTAAGGTGAAAGGAAGTCCTGCTGTGTTGTCCCGGCCTGGGTTCTCTTCTCCTCCTCAAGGCTTGCCCATAGTCACTCCAAAAAAACCTATCCATCGTGTCTTTCACACAAACAGTAAGCTGTCACTTTGGCCTCATACCAAGGATTCAAGTTTTTTATTTGGTATTGATCCAAACTGACATGTTTGTGTGTTAGGAGAGGAACTGATTGAGGAAATAAAGATGGTGAGGGAGGAGAGAAAGCAGCTGGAGTGGACAAGGCAGGAGTTGCTAAGAAAGGGGAAGGATTTATTGGCTCAAAACAGACACCGCAGGAACCAAGGTGAGCAATAAAAAAACTGTACAAGAAAGAAATAACATCTTACAAGGAATCATCCATCAAGTTCTTCATTTTGCCAGCAGTCAGTGACATCAAGAATAAAGATACATGTTCCATTTCATTTCCTAATTCATGTTCTGCCACTAAAGCTTTACTTGATAGATTGTGGACAACATATGAGAAAGTAAAATTGTTAGTCAAATTATTTTTAATATGTCAACTTTTTCAATATGTAACTAAATTCTGCTGCAATTCTTCTTCAACGTAAAGCCCGTGACAGTTGGAAGAAGAAATATTTTGAAACTAAAAAGGCCACTGCGCCATTGGAGGAAAATCTGAGAAACCTAAGACAGGAATTGGAGACATTTTACAACAAACTCTTGCACCAGCTCCAGGCCAGAGATAACAGAGGGAAGCCGAGACGACAGGGCAGATCTTCCATAAAGGTAAAACTGAAGACAAATTGATTAAATGTTGTAGTGTTTGTTAAGACTAATTCCTAAAAGGTATGCGATGCATGTGGAAGAGTTATTCCTCAGAGATACGTCTTTAACTGTCCTTTAGTAGAGACTAAATATTGATTGGTTTCCCAACCAATGTCAACACTGACATTTTAAAATAAAAATGTAAATTGCCAATATGCATTTATTAAAGCAATAAAATCTACTTTTAACAGGAAAATAACAGTTTGTTATGCTTATTACCCAAGCCTTTCAAATGGAACACCTGTGCTTTTTAAGTAGAAATATTTAAGTTCAATAAAACCCACTTTATTTTGCTTAAACACAATTTCAAGCTTTTTTCTTCTTCTCAATAAAGGCCTTTATATCATTCATTTCAGAACGAGCTCATCATTCAGATCATGACGGAGAGCCATGAGATTGACAACTTAAAGAGGAAGGTAGAGGATGCCAAGATGAAGTTGATAACAGAGATAAAGGTATCTGATTGTATATGAGTCTACCTAAATGTTTCTAAAACCCCTGAGCAAAAGTATAGCTGTTGAACTACAAAGGAAGTTTGAACTAGTTGTTCAAGAAGCATATCTGAAAAATATGCTTTGTTGCACACATCTGTAGATATTTAATGTATCCGTTAAATTAGCTGTTTTGTTCAGGTTGGATGGCCTTATAGCAGTGGGGGGATTATAGTTATCCTGAACTCTGTGATTTACGAAGTCTCCTGATGAACAGAAAGCCTTCCTTTTTGCTAAAGTAAGGCTAACCGCTGCTAACTGTATAGCTGCAGTTAGCCGTTAGCGAATTAACTCTGCTGACTGGACTGGGATCTCAGAAATCTAGGAGTGTCTGTGTTAACACACATATAAATGTTGTTTACTATTTAGTGTTCAGTACTTGAGTAAATGTTCTTCATTACATTCAACAGCTACTGTGTAATCTGCTGAATTATAATAACAAACCAGCTTATTTTTTCCTGAATGCCGATAGTTGAGGAAACAGGCTGCCACAGAGCTGAGGGCCCTGAAGGCTGAGCTGGCCCAGAAGAAGAGTCAGTCCTCTCATCCCGGCCCCATGTCCTCTCTGGGATTTGGAAGTACCACACGGGAAACACCGCAGGCTCAACGAACCTCCATCTGATTCAGTGCATACCACGGTTCCTACTGTTTAAGGCAAACTAGATTAAAGTCTGTTTGGGATTTGTTTTAATGCCATTCAATTCAGGACCAAAACTGGAAAAACACAAGAATTATCAATTTATCATGCCAGGTTTTAAACACTTCCTGCTATATTGAAGCACAAGTCAGGTTTTTTTAATATACAAAAATAGAGGTTACCAATTATTTAGAGATTTTATTTTACAATGTCAGACAAAAAGGATTCATAAAACCTGTATTGTCATGACATTTGAACGATGGATTTAAGACATTTTTATACCATTTAAGGCCTTGTTGGACAGCACTTGATTTGTTTTATTTTAAGCAGCTGTGCTTTCCACATGTCATTCTTTTTTTTACCTGAGTTTTGTGCTGATACTTTTCCCGCTTTTTATTATTATTTGTATTACTATTTCATGTCTGATGTGATCGGATTTCTTCACAAAGTTGGTACTTTGACTTCCTCAGGTGCTGTAAAAAAATCGTTTAACTGGTTGTGTAGCTTCAATAACTTACAGAATGTTCAGAACATATTTTATTTATCATAAGCATAAAGCAAGAAAAAGTGGAGGAATCTGAGTAAGCTCAATATCATAAAATCTAAAATACTGTTTGTGTCACATTGAAAAGATTGGTTGTCTTTTATTTTCTTCCAAGAATCAGTTGTTTCAGTTTGCACAGAGGAATGTCTGCCGTGTAACTACATTCAATGACAACACCAATAAAAGCCACAATAACCTCTGAAGTGCAAGTATGCATCCCTGAATAGAGAGAAGCCCCACCCCATTACTGCAACAAGGGGTTATATTGACCTAGCAACAAACAGGAGGGGTGATGTACATTTCTGCAACCGTGTCAAGTGTATCCAAGCTTCTTAGCATCCTAAGAGAGAATTCCACATCACTGCGGTCTGCTGCCTGGCGACCGGTTCATCGCTGTAGTCCAAGATGTTTCCATTCCACATGCCAATGCCCCTCAAACCTTTGGATTTCACCGCGTCCGCCTTGGGACAAATACTCTGTGGGTCATCATACCAAACCTGATGGATCTGCCCTTCCTGGTCCTAAAGGAGAACAAGACTCCTGAGGTTAACATAATACGTTTTAATTTCAACGTTTCCATATCCTCATCCCGACTTTGAGTAATAACATGTTGAACCAGTGTTAAACTTCCACTTACATTAACTATAAATTGACTTTAAGATAGCACCACTGAAAAGTCTCAGTTTATGATAACTCCTTGTATCAATGAATAAAACAGATGGATTAAGTGGTAACAAAGCACAACAAATGTATTACAAATATTAGGTCAAAGTTATATTTTTTATAAAAGAGGGCGAGAAACACAAGCCTGTTTCCTATTCAAAAGAATTGATGATATATATAAATATAAATAAAAAACCTTGTTGTTAGGGTAGTATATTTTCATTCCTTTTGTTAATGTCTTTTATACTTATTATAATGTACATTTTGTGTTATGTAATACATAATGAACACCAACTACATAATGTGTTACCTGATAAAATGGAGGTTAAGTCTGTTTAACACTTTAAGGGCCTTTATTTTGCATTTATTGTATACTGTATTATCAACTTTAAGTACTCGTTAAGGTCCTGCGGAAACACAGCTAGAAGTACAGATGATGGACAATAAATAAGATGCACCATCTTATAATGATTTGTATAAAAGCCAATAAGAAGTCAGGAATGTTTTATGGCTAAGGGGTGATTTGTTTTGTTTGGGAAGTGACACTGTGGGAGCTCGGTCGGACGCCAGCCCTCTGGATAAACAGACTGGACAAACCATGCCTGACTTGTGAAGTCGTAACTTATCAGGAATAAAAGAGGAGCAGTCAGTGGAGTTGGGACCACACAGAGAGACAAACCATGAAATTGGCACCTACTTTGCTAACTACTAAAATATCTAACTCAAACATAGCTTTACATCTTTGAGCAAATTAAACAAGAATTCAAAGTTAAAATATATAATAAAGACAACGCACCTTGTAATTGAAGTATGGAGCTTTCTGCTTGTCGTCCCAGAGCCTGCCGGACAAAGAGCCGTTGACCTGCGTCATGATCCACTTGTATGTTTTCTGTGTTCCTGCTGCATCACTGCAGGGGGCTCCACGGAAAGGCACTTTCATTAATGAACAAACTCCCTCCTGGTATGGGTAAAGACATTAAGAGATATCTGTGTTTGCATCTTAGAAATAACAACTTCTATATACTCAAACAATAAGTATAAATAAATGATTGAAGTAGAATCTTTAAGAAAACAGTATTTGTTTTCGCTATATTCATAATATGAGACAGCCTATTTCAAGGGGAAACTGAGCGATTACATCCATCTTTACCCTTTTAATAAGCCACCCCACTCAGTTGATAAAAGTCATTTTGAAGTAATGTAAATGTGGGTGTTTGAAGTTGGGTATTATTATTATTACCCGTGTTACTTTCTCCAAACAACTCAAATGATCCCTTTATAGTTTTTGGACAACAATAAAGGCAACAAATATATCAGGCTTTGGCTACACAGGCACTACTTGGAAGTAGAATCAATTCATGGTAATTATATGTATTTTATGGGATATGTTGACACTAAAACAAGAATAAGGAACTACAGCCACAGCGGCACTGTGATGAATGATACACATCCGTGCTTAGTGCTAACGTGCAAACCACATCAATGATGAAAACTTCCTCACAATTATAATGCTAAATGAGGCTGATCATAAGTGGTATTCGACACATTTATTTTTCCGACCAGAAGATGGTGCTGGATACAAAGTTAAAGGATCACCATACTTGGACATGAAAGTCTTTGTCGAATGTCACTGAAATCTGTCCAAAGTTGTGAAGACATTTCACTTAAAACCAACTGTTCTGATCTCACGATGGCTGTAGTGAAAAAGTAAGATTATCACCAAAGTGTTTCATCCATTGGGTACCATGGATATTTGTATCATATTTTATACCAGACCTCAATAAACTAAAATATAACCCAAGCTTTTTATATTTATCTTTTAAATGAACATACTGTATCTCACCTGGGAAAAGTTAAGGCATGGGTAGTCATAGCCGTACCATGGCACTCCCATCACTAGCTTCTTTGGATTGATTTTCAGACTCAAAAACTGGTCATAACCTTAAAAGAAACATAACAGGCATAAGGTGGTGATGAGTAGTTGAATGCATTGACAAGCTGATTTATTCTCATTCATAACGTAAAAACTGGACAACAAACCATTCAGTGTTTGAGAGAGTGGGGCATTTGCCATTGCAATACAGTCCCCCATGATCTGGCTCTGTTCATCATAGGACATCACAAACAGCAGGTCGCAGGACTCAGCGATGGCAACGTAATCATAGCAGCGCTTGTCGATACAATTTGGTGACCAGGCAACATCAAATGAGACCTTGAGATAAGGAATAAGATTCATTTAAAGAAGCCACTTGGTCAAATGAATAAGGCATAGAGTTCAACTAAACTACATGTTTTTATGGTGACATTTGTTGAAAACATTGTGTTCACCTGGGAACCTGGGATCTCCCTGTGGAAGGCCTCAGTGGTCCTTTTGACCAGGTCTGTCAAAGCACGGTACTCTGACGACCCCTCGTTCATGGCCTGCTCGATGTCAATGTTGATCCCATCCATGAATTGACTCTTGGCTAGGTTGACTTTCTCTGTTATCCACGCCGTCCTGTTGTCTTGGTCCACAATGTAGGGTAGGTGAACGTCACCTTTTCAAACAAACAAAGAGAAAGATGGACATCATTATGAGGACGATATGGCCATGAACTTTTAACAGTTCAAGAAGTAGCATCAAAGATTACCAAATGTGTCAGGAACTTGTTCAAACATTAAGTTTGAGGTTGCTTATAACACTGACTGGATGAATTTAACAAATATCAATGAAATAATGTTTCCCCCTTTTCCAATCTATCTCTTTAATAAAGGCAAAAAGCCCAAATTCTACCTTTAAGTACAAGCCGCGCTCCTTTGGAGTGAGCGTAACACATGAGTTCAGCATCATATTTTCCAAACGCTGCCACTGTCGTCACCATACTCCAGTTGTAGGACTTCCATGTCTTTCCACCAACGTCAAACACATACACCTGAAAACACACAGACCACACAGACTCATGACTGGAAGAGTAACTGCTGCTTTTACATACCTTTAATGTCCCACTTTTACTGCATTTTGTTGTTTGTTTATTCATAAATCTTCAAAAAAGGAAACATGTTTGACACTGTGATTTCAGTCTCTTTATCTTAACACAGTAAAGGTTCTCAAACTATAAGAAACAGGCCGGCCTGAATTATGATAGCTGCAACCTTTTTTTGAATTGCCAATTCATGTATGGATTGTTGATTATAAATTACTCATTAAGTCTAGCCTGAATTTGTCCATCACAGGTTACCAGATCCCAAGCTGATATTTTAAAACTAAAGTCTGACATGGTCTGGATTATATTATAGTGAAATTCAGGCAATGTGTGGTACTTGACAGTAGGCTAAAAAAACACTAGTTGATGTTGAAAATGGCTATTTTTCTGGTGACTGACCAATAGGCTACTTTCAGATAAAATCACATCCCTTCTACCCGAGTTAGGTCAGTATTGCTGCATGTGGTCTCAAAAACATAAAAAATACAAGTCTCCTTTAATAATAAAAGGCAGACTAGGGTTTGTGCAAAATGTAAATGTCTTAATTCAAAATAGCTAAATGTACTAATTACAATAATTAGAAGAGTAAAAAGCTAATGTCTAAGGCACTGTAAGTCATACCAGTGAGTGACACTATCAGGGCTCTAGCACAAAACTGGAATGCAGTTGTTATTGAGGAAATTAATTACCCCTGTATTCCTCAAGTATAATGTTCTTCTGTGAGAAAGGTCTTTAATAATATATAAACCATCGGCTTTGCCCCCCGAGGACCAAACTCCGCACAATGGGGGATCAGGTTTTCTGTGCAGCTGCTCCTCGCCTGTGGAATTCCCTCCCAGACCACCTGAGGACTCCACAGACCACTGACGCCTTCAAGAATGGCTTGAAAACCTTTCTTTTAAAAAAAGCTTTTGATTAAACTTTTGTTTATTTTGTTTGTTTTTATTATGCCTCCTGTAGCACCTTGGGATTGCTGTTAGCAATGAAAGGTGCTTTATAAATCAAATGTATTATTATTATTAAACATTAAGTATTGTACAATTACAAAATTAGTCTTTAAATTAACACTTTGATATGTGAGTTTCTAAGCATGAATCACCTCACAGAAGTCCAAGAGGCCACTCTTTCTCAAATATCACGCAACCGTTAAACAAACACAGACAGGCTGGTTAGATAAAGAGGAACAGCAGTCCCAATCTGAAACTTACAACAGAAAGCACAGTAGACAAGTTCAGCTAATGTTGTGTATAGCCATGCATGCCATTCACTCACAACACTGTTCACTGCTATCTCTTTTTCATGTAACTTTTAAAGCACCTTATCATAAAATGGCTATTTAAAAAAAATGTCCAGTCCCTATAGCAAAACCAAGAGTTCTAATTGTTTTCTTTTTCTTTTACTTTATTTATGTCTATTATGCTGTGATCAATACTTGAATATGCCAGTTTAATACTCACTATGCAAAGCAAAACAAATGGATAGTGGAAATGATTTAAAAATGCTATTTGGTGTACCATGTTTGCAATACGTTGATGCTACAGGTCAATAGAGTTCTAATAAATAAGCTAAACATATTAAAATACATTTGGCTCAACTATTTTGATCACTGACGTGTCTTGAATTAATTTTACATAAACATTTTTAATAGATTTATTTTATAAAGCGACTCCAAATCCATATCAGAACTACGCCTGACAAATAAGAAACACCACTTTGTTATTGGATTTAAAGTGCTTATTTGATCTTATATGACATTTTCTTAGGTAAATTCAGCTGTTTTTACTACTTGAGTATTTCAATATTTCAATCCATGTAATGTGACCCAATGCCTTCAAATCAATGCAGAATTGTATTACTACACTAGGTATGATGACACGCCTCTTTTTCGTGGATTTGAAAGTACTCTCTATTTTATATAATATAAAGAAAATTGAGTTTTTTTTTAGAAACTTAGTGAATGTCTGTCGAGTACCCAACCTAGAACTAACTTCAATTAAATTAAATACACCTAGTTTCAGTTCTCGATAAGCAACTATGGTCTTGTTTTGACCAGAGTTGCCTTTCTCTGATTATCTCTTTAGTAATGTGCTATTGGTTTGTAGCCACTCTAAAGTGATTAACAGTATATTTAAATGCAGAATTATCAGTGATGTGCTGCAGGTGGATGTTGAACACCAGCTTATGTCACAGACAGACGTGAACTACCTCAAAGTCTCTCTCGTCCCGGATCTGTTCACAGAGCTCCGGTCTCTCACACGGACACACGGTAGCTCTGCAGACCAGGAATATCGACGATGAAAACAGGAGAAAGTATAACATTTTCGCAGCAGGAGGAAGTTGAAGTCGGCCCAGATCACCCGGAGTTTTAACTGTAAACAAATCACGAGTTCAATGAATCACTGCTGTACGGAGGCTGACATGGTACAAACGTCATGGTTAATTTACACAGCGACATTGATAGTAGGCCTCCTCACCAAACATGTAAGGTTTTCAATTCGATTTAACCATAATTACAATATAATTATACATTTTAGTTATTTAGCATGATTGGAATAACATAAATAAAATAAAAACTTAAATAAGACTTTAGCTTATTACTTATTACCAGATATCCAGTGTATTCCTACACTCTGGTACTTCCACTTTTACTTAGTACAAGCTCTAAGTACTTCTTCCACATCTGTTAACAATGTTCCTCTCAAATCAATGCAGACTAGAAGGCCTATTTACTACACTAGACAAGTAGGACACAACTTATTTGGATTTGTAACCAGAATTATAATAAGATTGCACTTTTAAGTGTTTTTCAGTTTTTTAATAATTATAGAAAAACATACCAAAAACTTGACAAAACAGGGGTCTTACAATGCTCTTTTTATATAAATATTCCTATGAAAATTCTGCTGTTTTATACTGAAAAGTCTTGATTTAAAAAAATCTTTTTAGAATTTGACCCACCTCTTTTTAATGAACTTTAGTCCACCTTCTATGTTAGAGTATACATACACATAATACAATATTCAAGGTTATTCAAGGTTGTTATATTACATTCTTTTTATTAAAACAAGAACGATTTGATAAAACAATCATACAAATAATGTATTTAAATATGCAATATATTTACACAACTTTTTTTGTTGATGCAATTATTTACAAAGCAGTCGCTTTAGATACATGTATTGTTTAATGATGTATGATACTGTACATTAAGGCCTGAATAATTAGCAGAACATCTTAATTTGCTCCATACATGTAATAGTTTTAAATAAAATCTGCCCATGCCTTATATCTAATTAATATGCATGTTTCCAAAAGACTAAATGCCTGTAAAAGAAATCGGGAAAATAAACCAAATGAATAACATGTTTTAACTATACAGGCTGGTCATGAGTTTGATTTAATTTGGGTGTATAATTAATTTATAATATCTTGCAAGCTGAGTAAACAAATGGTGGATTATTGTTTCGAGAGTCAACAGTTACTGGACCGTGCTGATAGTAATGTGATGAAATTGCAGGGCACAATGACATTTTATACAAGACTGACATGTATGCAACCATTTAAAAAAAGCATTCTACAATAATCTTTTATTTATCAATATTAATCATTTATGTGATTTTAAGTCATTGGATGATTACGTTTAATTTAAGCTATTTCTTTAATAAAACATATTAAAAAACATGTAAATTAAATTTTAGTGAAATATAACGATTTATGTATTAAAATGTGTGACACCATAAAATAGTATAACACAGCTTTAAATGTTTTCTGTTAAAATGTATTCTTCATCAAGCAGTTTGTTCCAGGCAGTCAAGTCAAAACAACTTGTTTCGTGACATTTTCCATTTGTGTCACCCTCACTTTGTTTAGTTTTCATGGTCAGGGCAAGGTAACATTAATGACAATCAAGCTGATATTTAGTTAATGATACATTTCGATTTTGGCCCACAGTCAGCAAAACTGCCTTTAAAAGGAAGCCTCTGTTAGCAGTAACTCACATTCACTAACCATGAAGGTCCTTGTGTTTGCTTTAACTGTGGCTCTTGCCGGTGAGTAAATGTCTATTTAAAATGTCATCAACTAAGATTCAAATTTAAATTGAATGTCATTTCTGAAAATGTTGCTTTTTGTTTAGATGCCCTGATGAGTACATTGTAGCAATTCTCCACTAATATTGTTTTTTATTAGGATACAAATAAGAAAATAAACAAACTTTTTTACAGAACGTGTAATCTTGTTGTTTTTTAACCAATGGTAAAGCAGAAAAATAGACACAAAAATAACATTGTTTCTCTTTTTCGCTAGCTGGTTACGAAGTGAACTTTGGTAAGTTGCGTTCTTTCTTTCTTTATAGAATTCTGTTGTATAAAAATACAAAGTCTCTATTTCTTAACTGTAAAAATGCAATCTCTAATTGGTTTTCTGGTCTGTCATTACAGTTCCAGAGTTCGCCAAAGGGAAGACCTACGTCTTCAAATATGAAGCCCTTGTTATGGGGGGACTGCCTGAGGAGGGTCTAGCACGGGCTGGAGTGAAAGTGCTTAGCAAAGTTATGATCAGTGCATTGTCTGATGACAACTTCATTCTGAAGGTAACAGCCAATTCAATGTTAAAGAACAATTTCATTATTATGTATAACGTATGCACCAGAAGAATGATTTTCCAATCCAATGCTCAAAATGTATTAAAACTGTCTCTCTCCTTTACAGCTTGAAGACCCTGAAATATTTGAGTACAGTGGCATCTGGCCGAAAGACTCTTTCACCCCAGCCACCAAGCTCACCTTAGCCCTGGCTGCTCAGCTCTTGAGACCCATCAAGTTTGAGTATGCCAACGGTGTTGTCGGCAAAGTCTTTGCACCAGCTGGTATCTCTACCACTGTGCTGAATTTCCACAGAGGAATCCTCAACATCTTCCAGCTGAACATCAAGAAGACGCAGAATGTCTATGAGCTGCAAGAGGTACTGATATCTCATTTTCATAGAGTTAAAGCTAAAATGAAAGAATACCAAAACTGATAAGCTTATTTTTTTTGCAACTAGCTTGGTGTACAGGGTGTGTGCAAGACCCACTACATCATCAGTGAGGACGCAAAGGCCGAGCACATCCTGTTGACCAAGACTAAGGACCTGAACAACTGCCAGGAGAGAATCATTAAGGATATCGGCTTGACATACACAGAGAGATGCCCTGAGTGTGAGGCTGTAAGTGCACTTTTCCCACTGGCTTCATACTCTCTACTACACTCATGTGCAATGCTGGTGTGATGACGTTGTGCTTCTTTTGAATGCAGAGAGCAAGATCCCTGAAGGGAACCGCTGCTTTTAACTACGTCCTGAAGCCAGCAGCCACAGGTGCTCAAATCTTGGAGGCAACCGTTACAGAGCTCATCCAGTACTCACCCATCAACATCTTGAATGGCGCTGCCCAGATGGAGTCAAAGTATGCGTTTGAATGAAAGAAAAATTAATGCAATTAAAGTGTTTACCACACTATCCTCCTCGAAAAGAGCCACACTGCATGTTGATGGAGTGATTATATATATTTATAGGCAAAAGCTGACCTTCTTGGAGGCCGTGAAGACCCCAGTGGAGCCCATCAAAGCTGAATATCTTCACTGTGGATCCCTGCAGTACGAGTTTGGCAGTGAGCTTTTCCAAATTCCCATCCAGCTTTTGAGGATCAGCAATGTTGAGGCTCAGGTACTCCAGGAAATATTCCAACTTTTCAAATGTTGTTGAAATGATCCCATAGCAACAAATTGAAGATAGGAAATCTTTTTTTTTCTGACAGATTGTTGAGGTTCTGCACCACCTGGTTACCTTCAATGTTGCCAAGGTGCACGAAGATGCCCCTCTGAAGTTCGTTGAACTAATCCAGCTGCTGCGTGTGGCCGGAAATGAGAGCATTGAGGTCCTCTGGACTCAATACAAAAACAGAGCCGATTACAGGTAACTATCATTTAGAGAAGAGACATTAAAATAAAAACAACGTGCGGTGGAAAATATATTAATATCATTCTTTTTCCCAGACACTGGATCCTGAATGCCGTCCCTGCCATTGGTACTCATGTTACTCTGAAGTTCATCAAGGAGAAGTTCCTTGCTGGAGAGCTGACTGTTGCCGAAGTTTCTTATGGCCTGCTGGTCTCTGTTCACAAGGTCACAGCAGACCTCGAAACCATCAAGCTGGCCGAGGCAGGTCAACGTTTAAGTTTTTATTTTGTATTTGTAGTGATGTGAGTACTGGGACGTATAATCACTTCTTTATTTACACCACTATTCAGGGCTTGGCTATGAACGCTAAGATCCAAGAAAACCCAATCCTGCGTGAGATTGCCATGCTTGGATACGGCACCCTTGTTGCTAAATACTGTGCAGAGAACCCATCTTGCCCAGCTGAGCTTGTTAGGGTATGTATTGTATTTTCCCATGTGTAATATATAACTTCAATTGAGTTCAAACATCTGTGATATGAATATTTTTCTGTCCCTTCCACAGCCGATCCATGAACTCGCCATTCTGGCTGTTGCCAAAGGTGAAATTGAGGAGCTCATCATGACTCTCAAGGTTCTGGGTAATGCTGGACATCCTGGCAGTTTGAAGACAATCATGAAGCTCCTGCCTGGCTTTGGCAGTGGTTCTGCTTCTCTGCCTCTCAGAGTTCACATTGATGCCGTTCTGGCCCTGAGGAACATTGCTAAGAGGGAGCCCAAGATGGTGAGACTACATTTTCCGCTTCCTTCCATTATTAATAAGAATACAGTGAAAACCAGTTTCATTTATAACGTACATCATCTTTGTGATTAGGTCCAAGAAATGGCTGTTCAGCTGTTCATGGACAAGGCTCTCCACCCAGAGCTCCGCATGGTTTCTGCTATCGTACTCTTTGAGAGCAAGCTGCCCATGGGTCTGGTGACTGTTCTTGCTACTGCCCTCCTCAAAGAAACAAATCTGCAGATCGCTAGCTTTGTCTACTCTTACATGAAGTCCATGACCAAGAGTACCGCTCCTGATCTTGCCTCCGTGTAAGAACATTACATATTTTGTAGATTCTTTTGTTATGTTAGCACCAATAATCAAATTAATTTTTGTATCTTCTTGCAGTGCTGCCGCCTGTAACGTTGCTGTGAAGATGCTCAACCCCAAATTCGAAAGACTGAGCTACCGCTACAGCAAAGCCCTCTATGCAGATACCTACCAGAGTAAGTTGATAACAGGATAATCATTTGCCGTCAGAGATTTAAGAAGAATACGTTATTTGATGGTTTTCTTCCTTTGCCCTGCAGGCCCCTGGATGATTGGTGCCGCTGCCAGCGCCTTCTATGTTAATGATGCTGCAACTCTGTTGCCAAGAGCCATTGTGGCCAAAGCTCGCACCTACTTTGCAGGAGCTTATGCTGATATTCTTGAGGTATGACAAATATGTCTTACATCACTAGTTAACACAACAAAAGGCTAATTTATCTAGCATGTGCTTAGTAAAAATACTAAGGCTTTAAATGCTGTTTTTCTCAGGTTGGAGTGAGAACTGAGGGAGTGCAAGAGGCCCTTCTGAAAATCAAGGATGTTCCTGCGAACGCTGACAGGATGACCAAGATGAAACGCGTTATGAAGGCTGTACGTTAAACAGATCACACTGAACATTTTTTAAAAAATTATTACAAATTATGATTGCACATTTTATTAAGAGAAGTATTATACTCTGTTGAATTTTACCTTTTCCTTTACACAGCTTTCTGATTGGAGGGCTCAGCCTTCCAGCCAGCCCCTGGCCTCCATCTATGTGAAGTTCTTCGGACAGGAAATGGCATTTGTCAACCTTAACAAAGCCATTGTTGATCAGGTTCTCGAGGTAATGCATATTTTACTGTACGCATGACTGCTTAGTAATAAATGTATTATGAACTTAATATCTAATGTCTTACGACAATGTTGTGTTGACAGCTCGCTAATGGACCAGCAATTAAGGCTGCTGGCAGGCAGGCTTTGGATGTTCTGCTGGGAGGTTTCGCTCTGCATTACGCTAAACCAATGCTGGTTGCTGAGGTTCGTCGCATCATTCCCACCGCAGTTGGTCTGCCAATGGAGCTCGCTTTCTATACTGCTGCCGTGGCTGCTGCATCTGTTGAATGTAAGTTGCAGTTGTTCAGCTTAACTGTTCCTGATTTGGGAAAATTATTCATATTGATACTGAAAATGTTTGGTTTTCTTCCAGTCCAAGCAACTGTGTCACCACCTCTGCCTGCGAACTTCCATGCTTCCCAGCTTCTGAATTCCGACGTCAACATCAGGGCTACCATTACTCCAAGGTAATCCACGTGTTGCTTACTTGAGCAATGATTAAGACTTTTCTCCTCACTTTTACTATGAAAAATAAATGTATTCGTGAAGACTACCCTTAAAATCAATATGTTCTGTCCCTTGCAGCGTTTCCATGCATACCTACGCAGTTATGGGAGTGAACACTGCTTTCATCCAGGCTGCCCTGCTCTCAAGAGCAAGAGTACACACCATCGTTCCCGCAAAGGTTGAGTTAAGAATTGACATGATTAAGGGTAACTTCAAGCTTGAGCTTCTGCCGGTTCAAGGCATCGACAAGATTGCTTCTGCAATGTAAGTATTTGTCCTTGCTTAAAGTCACAAGTTTCACCCAGTTCTGAATAATACTTTTTTCAACTATATATTTTCTTCTCCAAAAGTGTTGAGACTTATGCTGTTGCAAGAAACGTGGAAGACCTTGCAGCTGCCAAAATCACACCAATGATCCCAGCTGAAAATGCAACACAGGTGTCAAGAGAGACTTCAAAAATGGCATCCTCGGTGAGCTTGATTTACTGACCACCATTTCCAGCACTAGCATTTACTCTGTAATTAATCTGGTGCCCTCTGTTTTACAGTCAGCATCATCTGAAATCATTCCCATTGATCTGCCAAGTAAAATGGCCAGCCAACTGAACCTCCCCAAGACCTTCGAGAAGAAACTGTGCGCTCAAATGAAAACCTTCGGAATCAAGGCATGCACTATGATCAAATCTCGCAATGCTGCCTTCATCAGAAACTGCCCACTCTACGCCATGATCGGAAAACATGCTGTCACCGTTGAGGTTTCTCCAGGCAAGTGAAATGGATAACAACAAAATTCCAGTATTTTGAAGAAGTTTATAAAAAGGTAACATATGTAATTATCAATTTGGTTGTAGCTGACGGACCAGTCATCGAGAAGATTGAAATTGAGATTCAGGTTGGAGAAAAAGCAGCAGAAAAGATCATCAAAGTGATTAACATGAGCGAGGAAGAGGAAGTTATCGAGGACAAGAACGTCCTGATGAAACTGAGGGAAATCTTGGTTCCTGGTCTGAATAATAGGTCATCATCTTCATCCAGCTCCAGCAGCTCTCGTTCAAGCCTTTCATCATCTGCTTCATCTATTTCTTCATCCGAGTCTTCCTCCTCTAAACGCAAGAGCAATATGGTGGACCTTCTCTCTCCACTCAGCAGGCCACCAAACAGACAGAGAAGTTCCTCCGAAGAGTCCAGCTCCTTGTTTGAGGTAAGTTGGCTTTACCTATGAACATATACAATATGTGCAGGAATGATTCTATTTGTCTATTGCAGCAACAACTGAATGAGATGAAGTTTATCAAGAACCATGTCCATCAGGTAATTATCAGATTAATGAGACAGAGACATTGTGTACGTCAAGACTTAGTATGCTTAATGTATGGTTTCTTTGTTTGCAGCATGCCCTCTCCACAACTCGTGCCAGCAGCAAGAGCAGTGCCTCCAGTTTCGAGTCCATCTACAATAAGGTAAGTCAACAGACCAAGCCATTCCAAACTTGTTTTTGGTTTGATATATCTAAACTTTCGTTAATATCAATATCTTGTTTGCACTTTAAGGCCAAGTACCTCGCTAACTCCGTCACTCCTGCTGTGATCATCCTCATCCGCGCTGTAAGAGCCGACCGCAAGGTTCAGGGATACCAGATCGCAGCTTACTTTGACAGAGCTACCGCCAGACTTCAGCTCATTTTTGCCAACCTTGCTGAGGGGGACCACAACAGAATCTGTGCCGATGGTGTCATGCTGAGCAAAAACAAGCTGATGGTAAACACATTGATTTTATGATTAGGCAATAGTTGTGTGATGCATGAGATTTTAACTCATTTAAAAAATCCTCCTAGGCCAAGGTTGCCTGGGGCCTTCAGTGCAAAGAGTACGGAGCTGAGATCACAGCTGAGACTGGTGTTGTCAGTAAAAATCCTGCAGCCAGCGTGAAGGTTACCTGGGAGAAACTTCCAAAGAGCTTGAAGCGCCACGCAAAGGAGTAAGTCTCACATTTATGCAGATTTCAAACATTTTAAAAACAGAGTAATGAGTTCCTACGTACTCTGGGAAACTTTATTTGAAATGCAACATTTCAACTTCATTACATTCTTTACTTAAACACGAAAATAACCATAATCTTTATGCTTATAGGATCTCTAAGTACATCTCCTGCATTGCTAAGGAATACGGAATAAACCTGGAAAACACCAAAAATATTTGCAATGAGATTAAACTGTCTGTGGCTGTTGCTTCTGAGAAAAGCCTGAATATTGTGATGAAGACACCAAAGGTTTGACTTTTATTGCCCATCATTCACACAAAACACTTTTTTGAATCATATTTTGCCTCCCAGTTTGTATGAAAACACTAAATCGCTTTGTTTTTTTATTTATTACAGATGACAGTTTACAAATTTGGCGTGAGACTCCCTTTTTCTCTGCCAATTGGAAACACCGCTGCTGAGCTGGAACTCTACCAGGACAACTTGTCTGAGCAGATCTCTTACATTTTCACCAAGGCTAACGCAGGTGAAAATATTTTGAAGAACAGGTTTTACTGAATAGGCAGACTGATCAGTGAAAAGCTAACTTGCTGTTTTATCTTTTCTTCCGGCTCCTCCAGCTGAGTGCACCTTAGTCAAGGACACACTGATCACATTCAACAACAAGGAATTGAAGATTGAGATGCCACTCTCTTGCAACCAGGTTTTGGCTCAGGATTGCACCTCAAAACTTAAATTCATTGTTCTGCTGAAGAGGGATCAAGCACAGGAGCAGAACCTGATCAATGTGAAGATCGCAGATATGTGAGGACAACACTTATTTATATCTAAAGTGTAGGATCTGTCCATGTACAAAAAGGCAAGAATACAGCAATGACTGTGAAACATGTATTTCAATTGTCTTCACACAGTGATGTGGACCTGTACTCTAAGAACAACGTTATCATGGTTAAGGTTAACGGAGTAGAAATCCCCATCGCCAACCTGCCATACCAGCATCCCACAGGTTTGTTTTTCTATGGACTCAAATGTAACTGTCATACTAATATTATTACATTTTTTTAAAGTTAAAAATCACATTTATATATGTATTTTTTTTTAGACAAAATTCAGATCAGACAGAGAGATCAGGGCATCGTTCTCCATGCTCCCAGCCACGGTCTCCAGGAGGTCTTCCTGGACCAGAAAGAACTGAAGGTGATAAAAGATCATCAAGATTAAGATTTATTAATGTCCATACTGTTGAGGGAGGAAACGCTGAACTGTTTATTTCCCCAGGTGAAAGTTGTGGACTGGATGAAAGGACAGACCTGTGGACTCTGTGGAAAGGCTGACGGAGAAGTCAGACAGGAGTTCCACACACCCAACAAACGTGTGACCAAGGACGCAGTCAGCTACGCTCACTCCTGGGTGGTGGCTGGAAAGAGCTGCCATGATGCCTCTGGTAAAACGAAATGATAATACCTCTATTCCGCCTATCGTATATAATTCAACAATATCTGTTTAGTTCAAACCTCAAAACAATTGTGAAGTTATCCTTCATTTGTAATCTTTATTTTCCTTTTATTATTCTTGTATCCTTATTATTGTGCAGTTGTATTTCTTGTTCTCGGGTCTCTCTTGAAAAATTACATTAAAATATAAGAATATCATTTAAACTCAGAATGGCAAAAATAGCATATAAAGATACGAATAAAGACTTCTGTAGGTCAACATATATATATATATATATATATATATATATATATATATATATATATATATATATACCTATATACCTTTTTTAATCTTTTCCAGAGTGTTACATCATGCTTGAATCTGTGAAGCTGGAGAAGCAGGTGATGCTCTACGGCAAGGAATCCAAATGCTACTCTGTTGAGCCTGTGCTGCGCTGCCTGCCCGGCTGCATGCCAGTGAGGACCACCCCCGTCACTGTTGGATACCACTGCCTGCCCGTTGGTGAGTCTGCAAGAAATCACAGCTGTCTTACAACACATTTTTTGATATTTTATGATGCCTAACTACTTTACACTCTCCTCTTTGCAGATTCTAACCTGAACATGTCTGAAAGTCTGAGCAGCATCTCAGAGAAGAGTATTGACCTGAGGGAAACAGCAGTAGCCCACCTGGCCTGTCGCTGCACCGCTCAGTGCGCTTAATGTTAAAGCCTTCAGTCATATCATGTTTTACTTTTTGTTGTATTATTCATGCAAGTCAATTAAATTACTTTGTTTGAGCTGTATTAAATAAATAAATGACGGAAGCATCTATATTGTGTGTTGTCCAAAGTTCTTCTTCAATAAAGCAAACTGAAAGATAATTGATACAGAGGCCCAATTCCAAACCGCCCCCTACACCCTACCCCTACACCCTACCCCTCCGTTTGCATGTTTCCGCAGAGGGTCCGCCACATTAAGTGCTGTTCCAAACCAACGAGTGTGGAGGGATAGTGGGTTATCAAGCCCTCAAACAGCGAGTCTGCATCGCACCTGATTTCACCTGCTGCTCCACCTGACAGGACCCAACACTGTGTTTGTCCGTCATGAAACAAGCTGTTTACAAACAGTTCCGTCGAAACATTCACTGATAAACTGCACAACAAGAGCTATTTAATATCTTCATACAGATGTTAAGAACTTCATGGTTACCTCGTATTTGTTTAATCTTTTTTTAAATCATTTACTCATGTCTAGTCTAGAAAACGGTAAAAGTTGTGTATACACAGACTTTTGCGAAAACAGCTTATTAACATCATATTTTAAAGGTGACCTATCATACTATATTTGAACAATATATTGTAGGGCCATACCTATATAAAGTATATAATATAGTTTTTTTTTCAAAATACCAAACAGATCCTGCATTTTAGCCATGCCTCATTTCGCTCTATATGCTCTTTCCAGCCCTGTTTTTGCAGGGGGCTGATTCTGTGCAACCCAGTCTCATGGCATTTCGTGTTCACCAACACGATTTTTAATCTATTGATTCGTGTTCACCAACACGATTTTCCCCTTTTTTTCGTGTTGCACAGCACAATTTTAAAAGCAATGTATTTCTACTGGTAATGTGTTTCGTGCCTGTGTTCCGGATTAACTTGTTTCCCGATCAACTTGTTTCCCGATCAACTCGTTTCCGTGGGGTGCGCGGCTTTCGACTGAAATACACATTTCGATCGCTTTCTTCTGTCGTTTACATACATCTTTTGGTATATTTGGCTTCTTAGGAACACGTTGATGCACATCCAGTACCAGTGTGTGAGGTTGTGATAACGATGGCGATATCCGGACGCGAACAGCGAGGACTACAACAAGACAAACGAGTTGCTCGAATAAATCATTTAAACCAGCTATTGTTGCCAGACTTATTACGGAATATCGTTGTTAATGTCCAAGTCCATCTGTGTATACCTTCAGACAGCCTCCAAGTGAAGCACACGGTGTTTACTCACAGTTTGAAAGCAGCGTGGAGAAGTCTTCATCTGTGTTAAACTGTGATCCTCCCAGGGAACTGGGACCCGCCCAGGTCAAAATGTGACCCGCCCAGGTTAAATTGTGTTACGATTTCTGTGGCTATCTACCAGCGATCATGTTTAATATGAAAGACTACCCACACATGTATCCCTTATAAAAACGGTATTGTGCAGCACTCATCACGGAGGTGATGAGTCCGCCCACCGTGCACTTTGGGTCGGCCTTGGTCAAGCCCTTTTGACCCCCCCAGCCTGGTTCTCGTAAAAGTTTTTCGCTCAAATGACACCATGGAGGAATGTAACGGGAGTTGACAGGGGACTCTGCCCGCCTCACGAGTGCCTCTCGGCTTTTTTGGCATCCGTCAGGAACTGAATTTCAAAATAAAAATAACCGGAAACAGATGTAGGCATTTCGAGCGATTACCCAAGATCCTCAGCTATGGTTTAATCTCGCTGATTGGATGTTTTAGCCGCAATGCATGCTGGGATTTGGTGTTTATATGATATGAAATCCGGAAAACATTTTAAAATAATACTTAATTCCGAGTGTTCTTGCTTTTCTCTCTGAAAGCCATCACATAACGGCATTGTAATACACGGTTTGGCTGCATTACATATTACAGATCTGCCATAGTTCTTTATTTATAGAGCCCTGATGAGAAGACCTTTGGAAAAACTGGAAGAAATGCCGCCGAAACTGAATACTTGACGTGGATCATAAATATATCAACAATTAAACAACATCTTCAATTTCTCTTCACACAATACGTCTCCTTGCAGTATCAACACTAATTTGGCTGACTTTTACATTTGATCTAATTCATAGATAGGTTATAAATTTACACCATAACGGTGCACAGCTGATATAAAAGGACTTGTAGTTTTTAAAGATATTACTGATTTTCTTTGAATATAAGAATGTAAATACTGAGTCTGAAATAGTATAGCAATATGCTGTAAAATTATTTGAAAGCATGAATAAAACTACACATCTTCAGATGTTGTACATACATAAGTGTCCTACACTAATAATACAAAGTTATTATGGCTGTGTGTACCTTGTGTGCACCGCCTAATGGTTAAAGCATGTTATTGAATTTGTTTTTATGTGTTATATTTGATTTAAAAAAAAATATTAAGAGTACATACTTTCATAGGGGGAAAGTAGAAGGTCTGTGATAGAAATATAGAATATAAAAAATCAAGACGATACTATAAGTGATCTCTACAATAAAACAGTTTAGTGCAGGATGTACAAAGATATTAATAGGAGGAGGTGCAAAACAGAAAAACGAATTAACCTTTATTTAAACATTAAATAATACTTTAGATTAAGGTCTTCTTTTAAATAAGAAAAAAACTTTGGGGGTATCTATCTACAGATAAATATTAAGCCTGACAAAGTACTTAACGTCTAATATATTGCTTTCCTGCAATCTTAACTGTGAAGTAAAAACTTATTTGCAGCAATGTTGAGCCAATCATGAAATGAGTGAAACTGGATTCGCCTGTCAATACACTGATATTTATTGAGAGCCTGAACGGCCGGAGAGTTCACAGCATATCACAGTTCTCATGTAAGATCCCAGCAAACTCTGAACTCTAAAAGCGCCAAGAACCCAACTATACAGACAAGAAGAGGAGGGCCCTAAAACACGCGGGTTTTCCTTTAATGCATGCCAGATGTCGAGACAAAGACTCGTTGCATTGTAAACCCACATGAGCCAAGCTTCTCCCCCACAAGACATCAGATGACCTCTTGACCTGTGTCTTCCTGAGAAGCTATGGATCACATTACAGGCAGGAATACACTTTAACCATTAAACAGATTCCCGAGGACAAATCACTAAACTCTATATACTTTAACAAGACCAAAATATTCCTTTACAGATCCACCCTTTTATCAATTTATGATAATCAATTAACATTAGTCTAAAGAATATTTCAGTCAATACTTAAGTCAATAAGCGTCTTCAGAGTTGTGTGGGCTCACTCACATTAATTACATCAAAAGTAGAACAAGATTGAAAACACTTCAATCACCATGACAAGATACAATCAATCATAATAAAATCATCTCTCTTCAGTGTTTGGCATCATTTGTCAAAAAGCACAATAATAAACACGTGAAATACAACAATATTATAGCCAAATATATGTTTCAAAAATAAGATATTTTATCATTTATCACTCAGTTAATCTCCTTCATCAAATTCTAAATCAGCTTACATCTCAAAGATTTACTTCAAGGCAATTACTTATTAAAACACAATTAGAATTTAGGATTTATAATAAATCCAATTGAGGTATAAATCAGACTTCAACTATCAATCATTATGTCATCTCAAAATCTGAAGGGAAAACTAAACAATTCTCAAAATGTTTAACAATCTGAAGAATCAAACATTTTATTGTATAACGACCTGAAAAGGTAAAAATCAAAACATCTGTTCTTTATTCAGAGCATCAACTGTAATCAACATCAAAACATCTGTTCTTTATTCAGAGCATCAACTGTAATCAATATCAAAACATCTGTCTTACCTGGTAATGATTAAGGATAGTAACATTGTCTGTTATAATATTAGAAATATCTTATTGTTCAATACCTTATAAATCTGAAAATATCAATTAATTAATTAGTTTAGTGTGAAAGTGTAATCTGATAAAATATATTTATCACCACTATTTACCACATATCTGTTCATTGGGAATACAAAAACAATCATTAATTGTACATCTGTAATCATCTGGTCATTCAATTCAAATGTTATCTTTGTACGAGAGCTAGAAGACATGTTTTCCTCCTCTCTTTATGACACAGAATGTCTGGTGTGTAAAGGCATCCTGATACTGTAGATTAGCACTGAGGTGCTGATTGGCTCAAAACTCTTCTTCATCAGAGCGCCATAACTCAATTATCTGTAGATTAGCCCTGAGGTGCTGATTGGCTCAAAACTCTTCTTCATCAGAGCGCCATATCTCAATCCCCCCCAATTGCTCTGCTTTTGTGGCTCAATTCAGTGAGCACTTTATGATCTCCCAGTGAAACAGAGGCTCATCTGCCTGCATTCCTTCTGCTATCTGCTTGAGAGCAGTGCACCTGCCTATGCCAAGTGGCACATCCAGATGCCCCCCCCGTGATGGGAGAGGTTATGAAAACATCTGCTCCTCCAAGAAACATGGAAACCTTGTATGAAAACCTCTGAAGCCATCGCTCGTCCTGCGAGCGAAAATGAAGAAGCATCCCATCTCATCAGAAAGTTGAAGATTAGAATCCTCTCATCTCGAACGACCTCCTTGCCCGTGGATAAGTTGCTCTCTGCAGCCGCAGAGTGTGATCCTCTCTCTCTGACCCTTGGTCTTCAGAGCTCTCCTAGTTATTGGGTTAACACTTGATAGGGATGTTTTCCTGAGTGCAGACAACTCAAGGTAATGGATTAGCACATTATCATTCAATTACAAAAATAGGATAGGCCCCCTCAGAATGATTTGGGAGCCTTCCTGACACATTATAAATGTAAGGTTTGTGTTAGTCATTTAACATGCAAGAATCATATACTCATCAGTCCAAAGCAGATAAATGTTATTTTAAGTTAAATGTGACAATGAATTACAGCAAACATGTGCAATATATCCATTATTACAGCTCCGTGGGATGGCAGTAAGACGATATGGATCCGTTCCCATTGTGCATCCATGGGTAAAGATAAACGCAACTCACATTGGTTCCTCATACAGCATCTCTGTAAACTACGTGTATTCACTGAATTTCACTCTCTGCCTTTAACGCTCGTTGTA